CATATTACTTTATTTACGTGAAGTAAATTGATTGTAAATAAAGTAATATGTTTATGTATAATTATAATAATTGTAAGACATAGACATTGTTTGTTGTTTTTTAAATAAATTATGTATTATCTCAAATTCGTTTTTTACGTAAGACGTTATATTAACAGAACCCACAATTCTGAAGATAGCGTGTAATCCATTGATAAATAAGGTAAGTAGGACTCTATAAAAAACTCTATAAAAAACAGTTTATACGTTTGTTATTTATTTACTTGAAAACGTTCACTTTAATTGTTTATTAGGAAGCTGAACAGACGGAAGTGATACCGGTATGCGATTGGTTATTATGCTATGTAGGCAACAGGAAAATACTAACTGAAAAAAGTAAAATTACTGTAATAAATGATCATTTTTTGCTCTTTATTTTCATACACACACACATGTACATAGGTCCGTACCTACCTATATAATAAGAATGTACTGCTATTACATTCGCTATTATTTATTCCATGTGAAAGGATCGAGCTAATGGCTAGAATTCAGTTTCGTCCACAAAACAATACAAAAATCATTAATATTTGCTATCACAGCACGAGGAAAACTAGTTAATAAATTCGTTGGTTGTTCTTTTTTTTTATAAAAAGATCGTACGGTTTAGGCAAATGATAAAGATAAGGACCGCACATTTATTATTTCTTGTAAAAGAAAAAAAAAAGAAAGGAAATGAAGTTAGGAAATGGATTTGGTTCAGAAACCGTAAAGCTGAAGATTTGTTTTTAAGGAAATGAAAATGACAACGATGAATGGTGGACTAAAAACCGTCTTCGACTTATCTACGACCTACCAGCAACCCCACCCTGAACATTACAGAAATTAATAAAAAAGATCAACTGCATTCCGATATAGAAAATTGTTTATTCATCGATTTGTTATGCATCTATGAGATTATTTTTAATTAATAAAAAAATTATTAAGATATTCTGCGAAGTAATGTTCAGCTTATTATTTTTCTCGACTTCCTGACGAGTATATTATGTCTCCGGTCAGAATTGTTTGTTTAATGGACAGTTGAATAGCGAAAATATTTCCTAATTTTCGTTTTTCTGAATTGTATGTCGAAATAAATTTGTATTTCGCAGGCTAAAAATTCAACGAGCAGTCACATTTTTTTGCGACACTCGGTTTATTCTGGACTAGAACAAGCGAAGTTAATAGAAAACCACGTTTAAAGAAATCGATGGACCGCAGAAGCTTATTTAATGCCTTTTTATATAAGTGTTTTATTTCGAAAGTAAGAAACTCTTATATAATTATTCGTGATGATACAATAGTTTGTTAATTTTTATATTGCAGAAATCCGAGTGCATTTTGAATACAGAACTACAGAATATCTACCATTATAATATAATTTGTCGCCAATTTAGGCGTTTGAATATTAATTTAATGGAATAGATTACTTTCTAAAAACGTATTCAAATCCGTCTTCATTCGCTTTCTGTTATTTTTCTCAATATTGGCCAAAAAATAACAGAAAATGCAAGTGTTATTTGTTTGTTAGAGTTTTAGCGTTAGTATTGCACTACGATATTACATTTCCCTAAAGGTTTTCTTCTCTTATTATTTTTATTAAACCATCCCTTATAACTACATGAGACATGCGAATTACTATTCATTAAGTGTAAAATTGCATTATGAGTCGCTTAACGGTTTCAGCCGCTAAACTTCGATACCCGAGGCATATTTAGGCTTTTGCGTCTACAATTTACCCGAAACAACATAAGTAACTTATTACGAAATGTAAATATGTTTCGTACGCTACTGTTTTCTATCGTCATTACACGCACGAATTGACTATATATTCATATTCTTCGATTAAAATGAGGAACACAAACAAAAATTAAAAGAAAAAACACTTTCAAAAGCTGAGGGAAACACCACAACACCTTGAAAGAAGTTCTGATCCTAATCATCAGGATAAAACTAAAGTTTCTAATTTACTACGTTAAACATACTTCTTTATCGAGATGAAAAAGAATTCTTCTATCCCTCGGGAATAGTATTTTTTTCTGGATAAAGAGTATCCTATATCCTTTTCAGTACCCCCGACAATGTGTGTATAAATTTTCATGATGATCAGTTAAGTAGTCAAGGCAGGAAATGGTAATGAACAAACAAACTCATATTCGCATTTATGTTTAATATTAATTACGATTGTTGATGCAATATTTAATGGTTAAGGACACTGGAAGGATAATAAATTATAAAAAGTCCATTGATTCTCGAAGATTGCCTATATCTAACAAAGAAATATTTGTCATTTTCTAGAAAGTCATTGCATGAAGGAAGCTCTTTGCTCATGAATAGGTTCGCTCACACTTGGCCTGTTTTTTATTTATTTTGTATATGATTAGTTACCTTTTTTTTGTGCCAGACGAGTGGCCATGTCGAGTGAGATGTTTTGATGCGATGAATACAAAAGAAATCGTGAGTAATAATTGTTGTAATAGAGTTAATAGTTAAAAACCACGAAAGTAGACAATACGCACGAAACAATTTAAGTAGTCGATTAAGCACGATAACCAGAGCATAGTATGAAATGGTAGTAGGAGGTCTGATTCAAATCGGCAGGAGAAAAATACATGGGGCGTAGCTTTAGGACCTTCCCGTCGTTGGCAGTTTCAAACTTTTCCTAGTTTTAGTTAGTTGCATCAAACATGAGATACCAGGTAAGCAAAATGCTAACAAACTATTAGTCACTACATAAGACGACTACTTCCTAGTTTATGAAAGCATCGTCAACGGTCTAAGAATTTACTTTTACTTTCATTCGATCAACGTATGCTTCCGTAAGTATACATATGTAACGTGTATATATGTATTTATAAAAAAAATACTAGCCAGAGAGCATGTCTCCTTGCTATATTTACCGGGTAACAACAATAAAAGAGTAAAAGAAACATTCTATGTGTTCACACTTCCGATGTGTTCAGTGAAAATTTTGTTTTCTGTTACATCTGTGGTGAATTCGTCAAGTGTATGTACCTGTCAGTGCCCTTTTGATAAGTGAAAATGTGAAACAGGAAAGGTTTCCCCAATATGATTCAATTGGACCGTTATATTCACCGAGATAATTAAGTAGCACCTAGCCAAAGTATGATGAACATTATTATATGTACTATACCTTGTTGTTATATTTTGCTTTTTCTAATCTCAAAAACTGAGAACTATCAGTGCAAGATCAGCTATTTCATTTTGTATAGAACTAAATGATTAATAAATCTCATAAATATGATCCGAAAACCAGTATAGGCACTTCGTATCTTAAATAAATCCAAAAGCTCAAAAAAGCTTTAGGTATATGTCAGATTTTTAAATATTATAATTTGAAAACCAGTGTAGGATCTTCATATATATAATATAAAACCAAAAGCTTAAAAAAACTTTAGATAGATGTATGATTTTCAAATATTATAATTAGAAAACCACTGTAGGAAATTCATATATATCATATAATTACAAAAGCTCAAAAAAGCTTAGGTATATTCAGATTTTCATATACTATCATGAAAAAGCCAGTGTACGCACTTTATACTTTAAATAAATCCAAAAGCTCAAAAAAGCTTTAGGTATATGTCAGATTTTCAAATATTATAATTAGAAATCCAGTGTAGAATCTTCATATATATCATATAAATTCAAAAACTCAAAAAAAGCTTTAGGTATATGTCAGATTTTTAAATATTGTAATGATAAAACCAGTGTAGGCACTTCATATCTGAAATAAATCCAAAAGCTCAAAAAAGCTTTAGATATATGCCAGATTTTCAAATATTATAATAACAGACATTAATGATAATTATAACACTAATAATTCTATTGGTATTTTACTGTTCTCAATATTTTTAAAAGGAAGAATACTTCAACAACTAGAGCAATGAATTTTATAACCATTTATCAGCTAATGTTTTTTCTTTTTTATGCTCCATAAAAGAAGCACATTAAAAACGTATCAGTATATAATAAAGATACCTCACGAAGGAAACGCTTTGGTCTATTTTGATTTGTGGTTTAAGAAAGCTTTTTATTTCGAAATTTTTTTATCGTTTCTCTTTAACTAGTTTATTCGAAGCATTGAAGACCGAATTTCGGTGGACTACTTTAAATTCATGTTTAAGTGAAAAAGTTGAGCGTATTCCGATTTTAGGAAACTGTTGTATTTAAACACCGTTGTTTAAAAGCAGTTTAAAGACTAGATTTAATTTAATAATTTGACACTGTCTACGTACGCAAGTATCAAATAAATTTAGCTAGCTATCAGTTCTGAAAACATGATTAATATTAAACTTTTCATCGGAATTATGAACGAATAATAAATGTTTAGGTTAATTCGATTCATAGGAAATCAGTCAGGAAAACGGAAGTGTCTAACAATATGTGAAAAAGAGTNAGTTATATTAATAATAATAATAATAATAATCAATATTACTACTAGTTCTAGAGTAATTAGGACGTAATAAAACAACATACTTACTAAGACATTATGTAACGCTAATCAGTTAACCAGATTAGAAAGTGCATGCTGAATACAGTGTTCAATTTGTTACTTAATTTGTTTCAACAATTTTATTACGAATTAAACTTTTAGTTAGAAAAAGCTTTGTTTTACTACAGGTCAGTGGCACTTAATAAATATGGGTTATTAATAATAGAATCGATTTTTACAGTTCAATACGTGTTTCTTCAAGATTTTCTTTGATTTTCCTAACTTAAATGCTCTGGACAATTTGGCCTTAAATTACGGTCTATTTATCAAACATTACTCAATTATGTATAGAAATAATAAAAAAATAATATCTTTAGTTCAGGCTGCAGGTGCTAATGAAATTAAATCTTCGAGATGAAGATCGCCGAAGAGAGACACCTCTGTTAATTACCACTGATATTCAGGTAGAAAAAAAATGTTAATTAAAAATAGTTAATTAATCGATTCACGGTTGAGCGGAGCGATTTTTCTATGCAGAAGTTTTCAAAATTTAACTGAGCTACCGGTTGTTCAAGGTGACGCTTTTCTTCATCCTGAATTATTGGCCTTGGAGAAGAAAGTGATCAATTCTCAGCTACAACTTTAAAGAAGTGTAATGCTACTTAAGGAATCAGTAGCGGCACGGTAAATAAATCCTGAAAAATTAGAAAACTTTCTAACATGAAATTTTGTAACTTTTCGCATTGATAATGCCGCATTGAAGAATTTAAGACACCTGTTGTCAATATTCATATTATTATATGTGTTTCTTTTCGAGAGGTTTGTTTTAAAATTGTGTAAAAGGAATCAGACATCAAACATACACGGACTGTAATGAAAACTACCATCCACTAGCATGCCGCAATCGATATTGTAGGAGCAACAGTGAATTGCCCTACGTGCGCAAACGCACAACAGTCTAGCTCCACCCCGTTGGAGCTGTGAAGCGTACAGTTCCATATAAAGATAATTACACCTTTTTAATGCATTAAGCTTCAAGATTACGTATTGTATAAATATAAAGAATGGATTAAATGAAAATGAAATGGAAATAGGGGGTGTTGTAGTTCAACAATGACGAACCACCACTGTTTAACTTTATATATATATTGTGTATACATAAATGATATCTCAATTTGGAGCCTGGGAACGTCAGGTATTACATAAAAATCGTTTGTAGCGTAACTACCTACAACGCCACAACTTCTTCAGGTTTTTTTTTCTATACATACATAATAAATGACATTTTTATCCGGCGTCGTTACAAAAGTTGCTTAACTTTAAACAGATTTCTTTCTTTAGTAGGTAATTGAGATAGTCAATCCGCAAACTGGGAAAAAGAAAACAAGTTTTTAAGAATTATATCGAACGATAGGTTTGATTTATTGTATAACAGATACATTAATTTTTGAAACTTACAAACTACTGTTACAGTTATTATAAACAGTTACGATAACTTTTGTTAACGATGAACTTTTAATAAGTAAACGAAATTGAACAAAGATAAGTAAACAGGAAGTTTTTAATCTTCGGGTTCTTCCTTCTTAGGCTGCATTAGAATAGGACAAAGCCGTTTAGGTTGTGGCTCGACAGCTTCACCTTCGTCTCCACGTTCGCCAGTTAATACCGCAGCATCAATTTCATATTTGTTTATATAAAACAATGTACCGCCATTTGGCTGTATTGCACTTGCAGAAACTAAAAATTATTTTCCAAAATCTTAAATTAACTGACGATCTTTTTGATTCTCGTTTTATCAATTGCAATTATCTACCTTCCAAGTGGTAATAAAGCCCAATACAGCAGTGGTGGTACGCGCATTCAAAAATAGGTAAAGGGTGCAAAACCGGGAGGAAACTAAATATAAAATTAGGTTCAGTACGCTGACGAATATACCTCAGAGTTTGTAGCAAAGTGAAGTAGACTATTCAACGAGCCGCGATCTCGTCTAAGGGTGCGATGCCGAATCATCACCGCTGCTATATCAACCCTCTCGCGCTAGCAGAAGTGTAGCGGTCACTTACCTACCCCTTCACTTGAACATATTATACGCGTTTTAGAAAATACTACAAATGGCGCAGTAACGCCATCTGTAGCACGATGCTACATTTTAGGATTACGTATGCTCCAACAAGGTCCACTTGTGTGGATATCTACTTGCTGAAAACGAATCCCAGAGTAGCCAACCTCAACGTGATAGGCACGTTAGCTTAATCGAATAAAATAATTCCAAGTGGTCTGTATTCTGTCGAAACTGCCAGACGCGGATCGCGATTTCGATCTTTTTGGAGCCAAAGTATGATGAACATTATTATATGTACTATACCTTGTTGTTATATTTTGCTTTTTCTAATCTCAAAAACTGAGAACTATCAGTGCAAGATCAGCTATTTCATTTTGTATAGAACTAAATGATTAATAAATCTCATAAATATGATCCGAAAACCAGTATAGGCACTTCGTATCTTAAATAAATCCAAAAGCTCAAAAAAGCTTTAGGTATATGTCAGATTTTTAAATATTATAATTTGAAAACCAGTGTAGGATCTTCATATATATAATATAAAACCAAAAGCTTAAAAAAACTTTAGATAGATGTATGATTTTCAAATATTATAATTAGAAAACCACTGTAGGAAATTCATATATATCATATAATTACAAAAGCTCAAAAAAGCTTAGGTATATTCAGATTTTCATATACTATCATGAAAAAGCCAGTGTACGCACTTTATACTTTAAATAAATCCAAAAGCTCAAAAAAGCTTTAGGTATATGTCAGATTTTCAAATATTATAATTAGAAATCCAGTGTAGAATCTTCATATATATCATATAAATTCAAAAACTCAAAAAAAGCTTTAGGTATATGTCAGATTTTTAAATATTGTAATNATTACGTAGCATTATAATCAAAATTACTATTCTTATATTAATTATTATGGTATTGTTTAACGTACCATGTTTTTCCATTATTTGAGCAATATCCCTTCTAAGAGCTCTTGAGACAAACCCCAAGAAGATGTTCAAAGCATCTTGATCAATCATAGGTGCAGCCGCTTAAACAATTAAAACTTTCAGCTATCAATGAAACTTTTAATTTATATTGTATACTTACGTCTTAAAATAACATGAACAAATAAAGGTTTTTGCTCCATTTTACTTTCCTTTTTTAACTTTTAATCACCGAAAACACAAAACCTTATAGTTTCTCTGACGTTTAGTCAACAATTGTAGTTAGTCAATTGTTTCCGCTATGGCCATCTCAGTATTATAGGTAGTAATATCGATTTCAGGCCATTTTTATTTAATTATTATTAATTTTGATGATTAATAAATGTAATAAAACTCTTTTTCAGATGACAATGAACAACAGCATAGGCTTAAACGAATGTTCCAGCCTAAATAGAAAATGTGAATCCAGGTAAGATAAATTAAGGTGTAAAAAAAATTTATTTACGCCTGGAAATAATAATCTGTGCCCTGGTGTAAATTTAAAATTTAGCAAAACATAAAAATAAATAAAGTTAAACATTATTAAAGACTTTATTTCCTATAAAACATGTTTTATTATGGTTTCTACTTAGGATAAATTAAAATATGAATATTGATTTTCATTAGAATACGTAACGTTGTTTCTCGCATTGCATATTAATTTGATTTGAAGGCGTAAGGCAGCTTAGCCTACACATGGTGGTGCTCATTTAAATTCAAGCTTATTTAAAAAATTGACAGCTACGTTCTATTCAATCTGATTTTATTGTGACGGCGATTTTGATTTTGTCCACACCGCAAATTTCTCCAATAAATCATCAATTTCATCATTGCCGCTGATGTTTATCCAGTGCGATGACATTTTCGAATAAAAGGCGATTACATTTTAAAGATAATGGTTTACGCGTTTTGTTTCTGTCTTTCTTTAACCGGTTCAATTTATGTTTGACGAACTCAAAAATAAATAAAAATGATTTGTGCGCCAATTAGTAGGTACAATGAATTGATTCCAGGCGAACTGACTAAATGCGCACACATTTCTACATAGTTCTCTCCATTTCTGCATTGTTTATATAAACAAGCAGAAATATTAGTTACGTTTTACGTATAAAATAATAAACCGGGAACATTCGTCATATTCAATTGTGATAGCGGAAGAATAGAATAATTACCAACAAAAAGGGACGCCAATTGTCATAAATATTTTTAATTGATCAAAAAACCTACCGGACCATTTTGCAAAACTAATTGAATAAAAAACTTTAATTCAACTGAAATTTTTTTTACTTCTCCACAAAACCTATGGGTACATAAATATTGGTCATAATAATATCAAATCCATTAAACAAAACCAAAGATTAGCACACAATTACCATCTCCCAATAGTTCCACGAGCGTTTAAATTATTTTATACACTTTAACAAGATTATCAGTGTAGTACTTATTCGACATCGCACTCGAATACCGTTAGCACCATGAGATTCTACATACTTTTTTACATTATTATCACTTCTCGACGCTTACTGAATACCTTCCATCTCATAGTAATTTCACGAGCGCCTTTTTATGTTTAAATTATTTTATACACTTTAGCATGATTATCAGGGAAGTACTTATTCGACATCGCACTCGAAAACCGCTGCCACCACCATAAGGTTTTAAAGCCTTTTTAGATAATTATTACATATCAAATATATGCTAGTAGACTGGAGTTAATATTAAGTATTACTTGAGCATGTTTTAATTGGATAATTATTGTGCATGGAGCAATTCCACAGGTTTAATGAACGTATAACCAATATCTGTAGGTATATGATTTGATTTATTTGTTGTAATTGATGGACAAGTAATATTGCAACTGAAGGATATCACTGCAAACTAATTGACTGCTTCACTGCTTCATGTGTATTGACCAGAATATAGTGAACTTTAATATTAGCAAAACTACACATAAGGGTTCATAAGTTGAATCCAACCATAATAAGACTTGATGAAATTCCATGCGCTCACCGCGAAATATATGTAAACTTGACTTAATTGACTCGACGTAATACAGATGTTAGTTAATTCATTTACAGTATCAAAATTAAATAACTTTGGCATTCTGACAAAGCACACGTCAAATTAATATTACGAGTAGAAAGGGAAAACAATAAAATTTAATTATCCTATAAGTAATCGTTCCGTTTTATCTTGATTGTAATGTTAAGATCAAACAAGAGGCCTAAATTAAATTCAATCGTTCGATGGTGCACTTTCTGTAAAACGCAGTGAATAAAAATATAGATAAAACACAGTTTCACTTAAATTTTTTTATAAATAATTCATCATATTGGAAGAAGTGTTCGAAATGTGGTGTTACAGGCTAATGATGAGGATACCGTGGATAGAGAAGGTTAGAAATGAAGAGATATTAGAAAGAATAGGAAAAAAGTCAATAAGAAATGTTGGTAGGACACCTTCTCAGGAAAGAACATCTAGTCAGAGGCATACTAGAGGCAGAAATGGGAGGGACCCTTGGATATTTTCCCTTATGGTACACCGTTCAATCAATACAGTTTAGATGTAGGAGAAGTTGTCAAAAGGAAACACTTTAGGCCGTACGAGTTTAACTCCAGTTTAAATTTCTTTACAATAGCGACATCCTTCCGCAAATGTCGCACCTAACAATAGCAAGTTTCACTCTAAAGAAGTCCTTGGGGCTATTTTCTATTTTCAGCTGATAGAAGTTGAACACGAAAAATGTGTTGTAAGAGGGGAAATCTTCTCCTGGGGAATCGTTTTATTAAAATTTTACATTCTACGTTTTGCGGTGATTGCACATCTGAAAATTAATCGAGCAAACTTGATATTATTTAACGTTTTGTCGCCGATCGAATTTTATTAAGAAGAACCGAAGTTTGTTTGTTCATTCATTTCCTCGGTATTCTTCCACGTTATTACATATTTGGCGGCACATAAATAAGACAGTATTGCACTAGCACACTAGTGTAGAAGTACGTAAACATTATCGCGTTATACAACTTTTAACTTTTTCTACTGGCGAAACTTGGAATATTTATGGTTGCGAAAGTGGAGTAGATATCTCTGATATTTTCGCGTCCGTTTTAAAGATGTTGCTGATTTAATTTTCTTTCAGAAAGCAATTTTACTGAAATAATGAATAAAAGCCTCCCTGCTTACAACTTCACTTAACCAGTTGGTTGAAATGTAAAGCAAATAAAATTTGCAACTTTCAGCGAAAGCACGAGCAGCTTTTACTTCGGAAATAATTCATTCTCAAATAGAAGGTGACCTATTTACTGTTTAAAGACACCAAACACTTATTCAACAACATATTTGTCCCATAACAGTAATCCTCAGAGGGAAATACTAAAATGTACACCGAGTACCCATTGATAAAAATAATAAAATGCTATTTTCCATTGCATAACATCTCGATGTAAGTCGAATGTCTAGTAAACATCAGTGACGGCTCGTGCCCTCCAAAGTTGTAAAATACAGAGAAAAATAAAATTTGATTTAGGTATCATATTCCTTCAGAATATGTGCAAAGAAACATATTCCTATTGTTGCTTGCAGGTGCAGAATATTGGTCGACAGCTGTTAGCTCTTCACTTGAGCATTTATTACGTATATTGAGGGAATTACAAGGGTTACTTATTGTCAAAAGATATGTTTCTAGCAGAAATTATATTTATTTTATTTACAAGAGACATAAATCGCGATACTAGAAGAATTTGTTCTTTCATCTGAATAATCGCCATCAGTAAAGATTTGTTTAAACCGATTGTTTAATTACAGATTGCAAGGTGCCCCGTTGAAGACAGTTCTACTTACTTTTCTTATAGTGAACGTTTTTCTTGCCATTCTGGCTGCTAGTTTCTTATTGTTTGGATCTCTCTACAAAACCAATCTGTGCCTTACACCACAATGTGTAAATAGCGGTAAGTAACAACAATATAATTAATTACTTAGCCTTAAGTGCACTTAAAACAGCGTCACCTTCAAGTCTAGTGTTAGTAGTGTTTTTTACATTTTTGCAAATGCAAATCCTTTATGTTTTACTTAATTTAGATTCCTGGAATAGAAATGTATTAAAAATGTGCTGATTTTTTTAAAAACGTGTTAATCGAATCGCTTTGTATAAACCTATCACATCTATGCTGTATTCTTTCCGTTCTTACGTTCATCCGAACAAGAGGAACCTTCATACATACGAAATCGATTCTTTTATGTCCATTTTTGCCATATCATCGGAGCTATTTCCTTTTTCGTGAAAAAAAGGAGCGCGATTATCAGGGAGATATCGAGAACGATTTGGATCTTGTAGCTTCTTCTTCGTCAATAGAGATTCTAACCCGAACTTACCCAATCCCTCTTCATTTTCATGTAATTTTTGACGTTTCACCATTGTTATCTCTCCTTACATTTCACATCTCATGAGATGTTTTTTAATCAACTGTTCAATCCATAAAATACCGGATACGGTCCTGTCGCGCAATCGCAGGACAAACGTAATGAAATGAGAAATTGAACTGGTATCAAGTCTCACTTTCATTACCCAAAGAGGACGAATCACTCTAATGCAAACTTGTCCTTTCATTCATATAATATTATTACAGAATAGAGAGGGCTAACCCTGAATATAGTCTATAAATGATAGTAAATCCAAAAGATTTCGTTGCAACCACTTTATTTTCTTCTATATATTTTTAAAATTACAACCACAAAAAAGGATAATCTTAGCAAAATCTCAGCAGTTTTTAATAAATTTTGTGCTAATGCCTTCAATATGTTTTAAGTATGTACATAAACACATATAAAACTATTCCTAATAAGTACATACAGTGAGTAGTAAGTAAATCTAAACAAAACCGCAATGTTTTTTGGATTTTTATCCGTTTCTTTATTCGCGGAAAAACGTACGAGTTTTTGAGGTGGTATTCTTAACAAAATGCTCTTCAATGCTCATCATTTTTGTAGTGGTGGCAATGACAGCTAGATTAAAATTTATGTTGAAGTACTTGGCACACTGAATCAGCGAAACCCTTTTCACGAATCAAATAAATTAGAGCGCCATTTGAATTCAAGTAGCTAGAATATGCATATACTTTGCTAGTTTTTCATCAAGTGTACTAGATGGACCATTAGGGGCTTTTTCATTTGTTGCATAATACTCCTAGCGCTTTTTCATTGTCAAATTAACCCTCGTTAAACTCGAAATTGTTTCTTTGTGACGACAACATTTTTTTTTCCATTGCTGTGTGACATTTGATATAAACAAAATATTTCACCATCGGCACAAACAAATAGGCAATGATCCACTTATTTTACAGTACATTCCTTCTATAAAAAAATATTCATCAGTCATTTGGATTTAATTTTCGCCAGAAAAATTTTGCACTGGTTAATTTACGTCTGATATTTTTCTCTTCGAGATCTTAATTCCGGTTTAATCTGAACTCATGTTAACCATGGAACCTTATTACACGTCTGAATCCTTTTGTTAATCCGTTCTCCTTTCTTGCATTCAATTTACACAACAATGGTGCACTCCTTAATATAATTTACCGCTCAAGTAGTCGACTTATTTGAATTTGAGAAATATTTTACATTTTGATTTCGCTTTTAATTTCAAAAACGACTCTGACCTTTTGTGTAAACGTATACGTATTAAAGGTTAATTTTCTCGATCAATCAAGACGTTGAAGTTGATATATTTACGTTATATCGTCAATGTGGTACTTGCAATTGACTTCAAAGATTGATTACGTAGAACCTTGAGTTAGACACATTTATTTTGCACATTGTGCCCTTTAAATCTCAATGCTAGGATCTTCGAAAAGGATGCCTTATCAATCACTATACCAAACATGCCGTTGTTTTAACCTTCTGAATTTTAAAAAGAACAAATGTACTTTTTACGCTTACTTTTGTGTCTGAATCTACCTTTGGCATTATAGCTCAAGAATTAACAATCCTATTTTGATAAGGGTTGTTTAGTTTCAAAGCTTGTATTTGCAGAAATATTTTGAGTATATTTTATAAAAATCAACAGTACCATTCTGGATGTATTTAAGATTCTGTGAAAGTTAAAACAAGATTTTGCATCAAGTAATTAGCAGTATGGTGCCATCTAGAGATATTTACTGCAAACTACAGTAGTTCTTGGTGAAATAAATGACCTTTAGACTTTACTATGATTATCTGGGGTTTAAAGAAATAGAAGAGTGTAAGTATCTGCGTTATTTTGAGATTAAGATGAGCGATTTATATGGAGAGGATAAAAATGGTGGTGTTTGCTATTGTGAGGCATAAAATGAGGCGAATCAATCTGAACGTGCCTTTTCGTAGAGTAATTACGAGTATAAGCAAAAATTCCGAGCAAATACCTAGTGTGTGTTCCGAAATGGTGCGGTTGCCTCTATATCTGGTGAGGGTTTGAGGGTAGTTCCGAACAAACGATAATATCAGCCGTTTCTAAACGTATATTGGCACGTTCAGGACGTGTGGATGCTAGCAATTTGCGGAAAATAGCCCAAGACCTCAATTACACCAACACCATCCTCATTTCGGTTTAATTTTCTACCTTTACCCGTTGTAAAGAATTATAAAGCTTTAATGCTGATTTCCAAAAAGTTACGAGCATTTCAGACTAAACATTCAAACTTAATTCATGCTACTTTCAAGCATAACTTATCATTTAATATCTTTTGAAACAGAATCAGTTGTTTTTGAAGAGATTACTTTACAGAATTATTCCTTTGTGGAGATATATACTTACTTTCACCCTTAATCTACTTTTCTTCGAATTGTTCCTAGCAAAATTTACTTTCGATTAATGTTTGATCATTTCCTGAAATTGCCTCGACTTGTTACCTGATATATAAATAATATAATCAATAAGGTTGCAAAGGAAAAAGGGAAGTATCTGTTTGTTATTATTATGATTACTCTTATTATTATCAACACAAATTACATAAACATGTACTTAATTAACTTTTAATTAAGGAAAGATAAAAGAAAATTAACGAACTGGGCAATAACAAAAACAATAAGTAGTCACTTTATTCACAACTTTTGGTGAAAGAATTGAAATTTAACTTATTCAAATTTAGATTTTTTCTCTGGGTTTGGTGAATAGGGTTTATTCTGAGCTTCGCTGTGACGTTTGCAGCGGTACCTTGGAGTACCTTCAGCTTGCATTCTTTTCTGTAAATCAGTGACTGCTTCCGATCTTTCGGCAGCTGGAAATTAAGTTAAAAACAAAATCCTAAAAATTATCCTTTTTCACTACATACTTGTATCTGGAAATGGCTGAGACGATGAAACGTCCATGCCCGCATCCTCTTCTAGATTCTGTCTGGGAAAAGCACCTAAAAACAAAGATGTGGTATAATAAAAGTTCAAGTAAAAATAATTAACAGATTAGAGAACCTTCGTCAAACTCGTGAGTGCTTGTAGAAGCCTGAGGTTGCATACAGTAGCGGCAAGGATAAATATAGGATATTTCATGAGGGAAAATGGCTCCCCTTGCTTGAGCAACATTTGCGGAACTTTGAGAAAACACTTGTGTATTTCCCGATGTACTGTCTGGATTAGACAACAATCCAGAAGGAGATTCTCCTAAAAAATCAATTTATTTATTTTTGCCTACATAAGAGCACAGTAAACTTACTTTGTTCGGTTTCGGGAAGTATTAAACCTCCAACATTTGATGTTGTAAACATACCATGTCTTTGATGAGGGTCTTGGGTATTACCGGAGTCAGATGCATTATTATCTGAAAAGCAATGTCGAATAAACGTGTTTTTCCTATATTTTACACACAAGTATCGTATCTTCAAAAATAAAAAATCGATACTTACCGTCGTTTGACTTTTCAGAAGCGTTTCCTTGATTTTCGTCCATATTTTATTTTTAATCGAAAATAATAACAGAAATTTCACCGAAAATAACTAAAATTTATTTTATAATCCGCTTTAATGCCCGATTTTTTTAATAAAAGCAACAGGTAATTGCAATAAGTCTTCACTACCAATTTCCGAACTGTCATTTCGGCAATAATGGAAACCTAGATAGCAATTGTTTTAATTGCTTTGTTTAAAAGACTGCAAGAATCATGCTACAGATTAAATATATTAATATGTTTTAGTAATTAATAATTAGTTTTTAAGGAAAGGGATGTTTTATATCTAAATAATACATACTATCGTAGCATTTTTATTCGATAATATAGTATTAATAATAATATACACATGAGTAATGACGAAAATTGCAAAACTATTTCTTTATTATTAACAAACAATCATTCCTTTTATAGTTGCTTCGTGAACACGTATCTCTAGTCCTTCCTATCCTAAACCAATCTTTCCCTTCAACGAAAACATACGTACATTTTTAACAAAATAGGAATTTTAATACAAATATCCTGCTCATTTTTCGTTTATAATAAATAGTTGTGTAGAAAAACGAATATCCTGAGTGAAGTTAATATAAAATCCTGTCTTTGGCAAAGGACACGACGTGGTGTATCTCCATGTTACCTCCCTGTCTGCTATAAAGTGATTTTTTGCTACAGCATCACGGATACTAGAAGCCATGGATCGCAGCGCCGATCCTTGTGACGACTTTTATCAATTCGCCTGCGGAGGCTGGATACGGTCGAATCCTGTTCCAGATTGGACTGCCACCTGGGATAGACTTGCTCTGATACGTGAGACACTTTTACAGGAGATGCGACAATTACTAGATTCGGCCGACATTACCAACAAAACTAATTCCCTACCAGACGGAGTTCGCAAAGCCAAACTACTCTATCGGACCTGCATGAATACCGGTAAAGAATAATAAAAAACAAATGACGAATCTATTGTTTCAAATCTCTCAGTTATTCTAAAATAATTTAATACCAATCAATACTGAGTATGAGTATGGGTTTTGTAATAATTATTAGATATAAAAAATTGTAAAGCTTATCTTGTAGGTAGTACCTAAACAATTTCGGTACAGTAATTAGTCAACTGGTTAATTAGAGTGTAGGATGTAGGTAACTAATTTTTTTGATAATAAATAAAAGCCAGCGGTTAATAATTAGTGCCCTAAAGTCAATTAGCAGCGTAACAAGCAGGTAGTGAAAGAGCTTTTGTTAGAAATTATTAGCTAAGCTTATTAGAGAACAACGATTCAATTTTTGATTCGTTAATATAAACCATACATAAATAGATAAAGTCTATTTTTTAGATGAAGTCGAATCAAAAGGGATAGCTCCAATAGAGAACCTGTTGGAAAGAGTGGGATTGTCAAAAAATCCACCTAAAGTCCGTGAAGACTCGACCTTCGATTGGTTATATACTGTGGCGCGAGTTCGCAGATTATTAGGTGTTAACGTTCTTATAGGATTTAATGTAGCTGAAGATGTAAGAAATTCCTCTCTCAACAAAATTGTGGTAAGTTTACGTAAAGGTAGGAAAATGAAATCGATTACGTATCGTTACCCGTTCAAGATAAATTAACGTCTCAACATAATACGTAGAAAGCTTTCGGAGTTTACATCGCATTTTTCAAATATATTATAAAATACCCACCTACATATGCAGTAGTTTGAACAAACCATCGACATATACATACAGTTCAGAAGTTAGCATTTTCAAAATTTAATCATCTGACTATTTCGCGGCAAATATCGCCACTTAAACTTGTTCAAACACAAATTTAGAACGAATTATGATCCAAAATTTACTCTAGACTTGCTTTCAAATATCCTAATGTTGTTGTTTATTACAATTTCACGCCTTAACTACTTAACCAATCATCATGAAATTTTGTACACATATTGTCAGAGGTATAGAAAAGGATATAGAAAAAAATACGATCCAAAATTTACTCTAGACTTGCTTTCAAATATCCTAATGTTGTTGTTTATTACAATTTCGCGCCTTAACTACTTAACCAATCATCATGATATTTTGTACACACATTGTCAGGGGTATAGAAAATGACACAGGGTACATTTTATCCAGGAAAAAAAAATACTGTTACCGGAATAGAAAAAATTAGTTTTGCAACTCATTTCAAACGGTTGGAAATGTGGCCTTGAGGAANATAGTAAGTTAATTAAGTAATTAGGTATTGTAACACTATTGAATAATCTTTTGGATTACGTCGGTCATTTGATGTATTTTTCTTATTTCTTTATCTGAAAATTAAGTTTTAATTCCAATTTTTCTTTGGGAAAAGTTAGTATCAACGCAGTTCCGACGATTGACTTTTTATTCTGATTTTGCTAATGGCTTTAGAATATCTACTTTCCGATGGCGGAATTTGAAGAACTACTAAAGACATCCGGGACATATTGCCAGTACCTAATTTGTCACTCCAGGCTTTTTGTCTTTCTTTTTACAATTGGTAGAATTCCGGGAAAGTCGGCTATGGCAACTAGAACTTGGAGAGATTTTAGCTCTAATCTAAACTCACTTTTTCTTATTTTATCAGTCATCGATTTATCAGTAAAGTCACTTTTTTAAAAAGAGCTGTTAAAGGTGAAGAACGTTTAATGCAGCTAACAACCGCAAGAAGAACATATAAAAAGGGAAATTAAATTCATACTGATAAAAATAATTTTTCCACATAAATATTGTATCTAAACATCATCTTCATAAGGTCGTCAGTCCTAAGACTGATTGGACACGCACCTCCACTCTTTCCTATCATGAGCTAATCTTCGCATTTCCCTAAAACTAGAACAACCCATATCCTTAACTAGACCTTCATGCCTGAGAAGGTGTCCTACCAACCTATCTCGCCTATTTCTTCTTGACTGTTCTCCTGTTCTTTCTAATATCTCTTCATTTATAACCTTCTCTATTCACGGTATCCTCATCATTCTCCTGTAACACCAAATTTCGAACGCTTCTAACCTTTTCTTTCGGCGCTGCCACTTTCCATGTTTCGCACCCGTACAGCGCGATAATAATAAAATAATCTTTTTAAAAAGGTGAAGATTATAAGATTAGTGTTTTCATAGATAGAACAAGTATCACCGGGTTTCAAGGAAAGGTATTTGCTACAACCCGATAAATTTTCATCGGAAATAAAACATTACAAAAACTACATCGTGTCAATGGTGGCGACCTATACAAACAGAACAATGGTACAAGAATTTGCTGAAGACGTTCTAAATTTCAGCACGGAGATAGCAAAGGTTTGTATCTATTTGAACGTTGAGGCTTAAGCAAACACAATCCTCTCTCCGACGATAAAATTTGTATTCTAACTTTGCTACCACTTTTCTCTACACAATAAAATCCCAATTATAGTTTCATTCACACGGAGCAGCCTTTAGTTCATTTTTATTCCAAACTCTATCCGATAAAGAACTTTGAAAAATCCAACACCACAATTACTCTTCTTTGCGTTACGCCTTTTTAACACAAGATTTACTGCAACAGATTCATTTCGAAATATCCCTTGCTACAATTTCTTTATTACGCAGTGCAATTCTTATTTTCGAACACAGCAAGGACAAAAATTAATAGTTTCGGTTACATATCAGAACATATGAAATTTTAAAAAGGAAACAAGAAATGTTTCATCCTGGAATTAATTTTAAACACACAAAGTTAATATCGTGTAATAGCAGTGTGTTTCGGCAAGGAATTTATTCTCAATAGTGTTGTATTTTATATAGGTAATGACCCCAACAGAACAACGTAGAAGCCCAGGTCATTTATTTCACGAAGTAACCCTAATGGAACTCGCCAAGGGCCCTAGGATCAACGATGATACGTGGAAATCTGTACGGCATATTTTCTTTTTTTTTTTTACTCGCATTTTTCCTCAATGTCTTGCGTGTTTCACTTCGCGTAAATAACGACAAAAAGAACAAACGCAATTTGATATCTAACTTATCTCTTCAACAGATAAACTGGACAAAATATATGGAATTAATTTTCGAAGATACAGCTGTAAAAGTAAATTTTAAAAACGATACTGCTATCGTACTTGATCTTCCATACCTTCACAGACTGTCAGGATTAATTAAAAAGACTAGCGATGTCACCTTGGGTAGGTACTTCAGCTCAAAAAATGGTATTTTTCGTGATGGTGTTACTTCTTTTTTTAGAAAGGTTTTTATGGTGGAGCGTTTTCGCGTCGGTAGCCCCCCTGACTCTGGCCAAGTTTCGTACGTTAGGATTCGAATTTTCTCAACATCTCGTAGGTTTACAAGCCAGGTCGCCCCGATGGAAAGTTTGTACCAGCACTGTCAATTCCAATTTTGGACTTGCGCTTAGTCACCTTTATATCCAAAACAATTTCGACAAAGTTTATAGGGCGAGAGTACGTACCATGTCGTATACTGTTTATGTAGCATCAGTTTTATATAGTAAATACATGTACTTATATGTACGTGTGTGTGTGTGTGTGTGTTGCACATTTTTATTACGCTGGGAGGAGATCGTAACCAAGAAAAACCTAACGGCTTTTATCGGTTTTCAAAATAATTTCCCTCGGGAATAACTAACTAGTTACTAAGTGTACTTGATACTTTTGAATAAAGAAGTAACTTTATTAAATCATCACGTAGTGTGTGCTCTTGTTGTTCTGGAAAAATAAGTATCATGAAAACAAAAGGCCGCAAATTGTCCTGTCATTTTTTATTTTTCGTTTTCATCCTATAGTAGGTCCTGTCCCAAAGGAGACACTGTTTACTTTTCTGTTGGCATGTTTTGATTTTCTTCGAAAATGTTTATCAATACATCATAGAATAGAGTAACTTTTTCAGAATATTTTCATGAGTACGTACTTGAATTGATAGTGCAAAATCCAATGCTCAAATCTGGGTAAATTTTAATACAGTAAAATCCGCTTATAATGACATCGAAGGGAAATGACAAACACGTCATACCAAGCGAGCGTAATACAATGCATAGTCTTAGAAAATAAACAACTTTCTATTTTGGTTAGTTATTTAGTTTAATAGAGAGAAAAACTACAAATTGTATATATTTGTTAACAGAAAAAGAAAAATAACTATGAATTGGGTTACAAAGGGTCAGAAAAATGAGCGAAAATGTTATTATTAATCATTTGGGTCACTATAGCCGGATATGATTTCTTGAGAATCAGTCATAATAAACGATATGTCATTTTAAACGGAGTTATTATATCCAAACTTATTATGAAAACCAAACTTAACACTGCAACTACTTCGAATTAAGCGGTTGGTCAATATAGGCGGAGTCACAATAAACGAATTTCACTGTATATCAAAACTGATGTACTGAATCGAGATTTTGGCAGTGGTTTTATAACATACCCAAAAAAGCGTTTTGCGAAATGTCCTTTTTGATTTCGTTTATGCGAATAATAAAACAATTTGTTTTAAGGCATCAGAAATGCTGGAAGATATACGAGACGCATTTGAAAATGCCGTAGAAGACTTGGACTGGATGGATACCGCCACAAGGGAAAAAACTTTAACAAAGCTGCATGCAATCAGGGCTTTTGTAGGATATCCCAGTTGGATCATGAATACTACACGTCTGGATATGCACTATAAAAAGGTACTCGGCTGATTGAAATTTTACACTGCTGGAAAGATTCCGAGCACACTTTCTATTGAAGTGTTGCAACAAAAATGTAACACAAAAATACAATTATTCCAGTCAGTTCACCTTTGGTCAGTCGAAATAATACAAACTAATTGACTTTTTCACCTTAAACACACACCAGCAAATCTCTTTTTATTGTTTATTACCTACGGACCCAAACAACACACTTTTTGTTTTGATTTTCACGTGGGACAATTTCATATAAAAAATTTAATTAATTAAATACTATTTGTCGCATCAATTTGTTACGTTTTCGTCACTGTTCTTTTGATATTTGATCTTACGAGTATGTAGATATTTAGTTATTACCTCCATTCTTTTCTATCCTGAGCTAATTTTCGCATTTTCTTAACTATTTGTGAACAGTAATCTAATCTAGGTCTACCTCTACAACTCTTAACTCCTGTTTCTGCCTTTAATACGTATGTCTCTGACTTTATGTCTGAGAAAGTATCCTATCTCGCATATTTGTTATTGACTTCCGTAGTCCTCTGTTCTCCTATTCTTTCTAATACCTACTCATTTCTAACCTTCTCTATCAACGGTATCCTCATCATTCGCCTGTAACACCACATTTCGAAAGCGTCTAACCTTTTCTTTTCCGCCGCGCCCACCGTCCATGTTTCGCACCCGTACAAGCCTCGCACCAAACATACGCCTTCAATAATCCTTTTCGAATTTCTAAATGAATCGTTCGCGAGCATAGAAGTGACTTCTTTTTATTGAAGGCGACTCGCGCTATCCTCTACTTTATATCCTTACTACTCCTTCCACCTCGATTTATCTGACTCCCTGGATACCTAAAATCACCCACTTATTCTAATTTCCCGTCTCCTGTCTTTATATTCGCTCTTTCCCTAATTGTAATTCTAATTAATTTCGGTGTTACTGTAACTATTGGATAAAGTAAAATGTAGTAGCTGATCCATCTGTTAATGTACGATATTCATCCCTGTTGTTTTAAAATTGTTTTTTTATTATTAATATACTATTTAGGCTAACGTAATACCTGGGGAACTGTTCCTGACTTATCTTAATCTGACAAATGCTGCTATAACAAGGAAATTAGAAAGTCTTCGGAAAGTGCCTGACAGAAACAGGTAATTGGTTTGTTTTAAAAATAATAAATGACTTTCTTATAGCCATCACTTTATGTGTAGGTGGGTGGCAACCCCAACTACCGTCAATGCATTTTATTCAGCTTCTCTTAACTCTGTCAGTAAGTATTTAATAATAAGTACATTAAAAAGATGAAAGAAATGTTAAAGAACTATGTAATAATGTTCACTTCCTCAATTCCAGTTTTTCCTGCCGGAATTTTAAAGCCGCCCTTCTACGGTAATGGAATGAGGTAGGTAGAACGGTTTTCGTTACCTAAAGAAAACGAAAACTTACTTTCTGAATGAATATTTTACACAATGTGTTGACAAAGACAAATTGCTTCTTCAATGAATGATACTGCGAGAATGTGCACAAGAATTACAGGATATTCTTTCCGTTTAGATTTGTCTCCTTAAACATAAATATTCCTACTTTTGATTTCAATTTTCTTTGTGTTTTACTTTATCAATCGATCAACTAGAAACGGGTTTTATGAATTGAATCGTTGCATTTATCAACCGCAAATGAATCCTTAAATGACCATAATATTAACAGCGCCTTAACTTTATTTTCATATCGAATTTTGTACTGCTTGCTAATAAACAATAATGGGTTTTTAAGGGCTGTAGATTATGGTTCAATCGGAGCAATTATGGGCCACGAAATCACCCATGGATTCGACGATCAAGGTAAGAATAAATTTTCTGCAATATGAGAAGTTTAATTCTGGCATACCCACAAGCATAAACTGATTATTTCGACTTGACTTTGTTACGTGGTTTAATTTAAAAGTTTCACTATGTTAGGACGTCGGTACGATGAACATGGGAATTTAAAGCAATGGTGGTCTTCAACGACACTAGAGCATTACCATAACAGGGTTAAATGTATTATTGAGCAGTACAATAATTATACAATGCCGGAATTAGGGTCATCATATCATGTGAGTGGCAATATTAAAGTATACCTACATACATTTTACATTTTAAGAATGATAAAAACTCCAGGTAGAGGTAATTTAGAATGGCATGAACCTCGCCTTTAGACTCTGACCATTTATTGATTTCTACATTTCTTTTTGATATCAGCCTAGCACTTTGTCAGCATTTTTCCAGTAACTATTTGAGACGACAAATTTTTGCACTTGTAATAAACTACAGTACTTTTTTAAAAACTTCTAAGGGTTCACGTTATTCTAAAGTACCTATAACATAATTTTTCATATGTGAAAACTTTCTACTTGAAAGGTACATGGTTATAACACTCAAGGTGAAAATATCGCCGACAATGGAGGTCTCAGGGCAGCGTTTGAAGCATACAAAAATCGCCAATACAAATCCAATTCGCTTGACATGAGGCTGCCAGGTCTAGATATGACTTCTGAACAACTTTTTTTCCTCGGATTTGCACAAGTATGTATTTATTGAAAATGTCAACCGTACATAGCTACATGTAAATATATTTTCTCAAGAAAATTTCAAGTCAAATAAAATTGCGAAGGAAATAAATCTCATATTGATTACCCAATAAATGTATGATATGAACTATAAAAATGATATTAGGTCATCTTCGTCTGTACATGATCCAGGAATTAAACACCATATACTATTACAATGAACATAAATTAGAAAATGGTACAATTACGTAAGTCTGATTTACACTCGACATATTTTATTATTTCTTTTTTCTGTTATAAAATCGTGGGTGCGATTTCTCAAATGGATTCGCGTCAATTTTTGCTAATAGCACACATTTAACACGTATCTGAATATAGGGGAAGAAGAAAATCTTTTCGCGGCAACTAAACGAAGCGAACGTAATCTTAAAAAGTCATCATCGGAGAAGGGACTAGTGAAAACCGGATCGCGAATGAAAATGGGAAAAGTTCAAAACTAAGTTTCTTCATGATTAGCTTTGCGCGACAAGTAAAATTATACCATTTGTTAAAGCAGGACAACGTATTACATTCGAATTTCAACTTTCCTACGTATAAACACAACATTAATTACTTCAAAGTGGGCATAATTAATTACCGAAAATAATTACTTATTAAAAATTCAAAACATTTAGACGACACAATCAAATATCATAGATAAACAATCAAATCATATTCTTTCTGTTTCTATATTATCAATTTCCTCAGTCAAATTAATAAAATACTCTTGATAAAGAATTTTCCTTCGAGAATTATTGAGCGAATGATGCAAGTAAAGCCATCTAGCTTTCAGACGAGAAACTCTGAAATCCCTGTTCAGGATTAAATGTCTGCAGTATAAAATAATGAAAATCCCTGGAGCATTTACAGGAAGCTTTTCTAATCTTATTTTGTAATTTTACTTAAGATTTGGTGTGGAAATACTACGCTGGGAGCTTTGAAAAGCAAGATGATTGACGGAGTGCATAGTCCGAATCGCATACGAGTCCTTGGGACTTTAAAGAACTCTCAAGAATTTTCCGACGTGTGGCAATGTTCTCTAGGAACTCCTATGAATCCTAAACACAAGTGTATCTTGTGGTAATGGAAGACTTTCGGGATTTTTAGCAAGAAAAAAAGAAATTTAGAGGGATGGTTATATCGGGTTAATAAAAAAAAAAAATAAGTACAAAGCAACTATTATAAAATTACCTTAGGCTTGCGCTGAAGAGATTGGGATTTATGCATATGTTAACTATAATAACTGATTACATTTTTGTGATAATTTTTTGTAAAGTACCTACATACAGTATTATTATTGTACATGTATATAGAGATTTCTCATGTGTAGAATTAAAAATTTGCCGTTGTTTATTGTTAAGGCAAAACTGTTAATTAAAGTGTATTAATAAGGGAAGCAAAACCAATAAAACCTTTTTTGGACAGTGATGTCTGTTAGAGAAAAGTACATGTGATAAACGATGGATTTTCCTGTAATTTATAACGACGAATCATCATCATCATAAGGTCATCAGTCCTAAGACTGGTTGGACACGTACCTCCACTCTTTCCTATCCTGAGCTAAACTTCGCATTTCCCTAAAACTAAAACAGCCCACATCCATAACTATTTGCGAACAGTAATCTAATCTAGGTCTACCTCTACC